AGTTCATTTATCACTCCCAGGATGGTGGAGGAAAATGTGGAATATCACTTCTGACTATAAAGGATTTGAGTGGATGCTCAGACTGAGAGGGTTCCTGTCCTTCATCTGCTTTAGGATGCTGTTAAAAATCTCATAAAGCTGCACACATACAGTATCACACCTATAACCTTGATTACAGGACATACTTTAACCTTGCTTGATTCCTCTACACTCCCATCATGCCAGAACACATGATTAAGACTTTTAATTTTAATTTATCCCATCCCCAATTTGTTCATATCCCAATTCCCACCGACCTGCCTTCTCTCGCATATCATATACGACAACTACCATGCGAGACACGTGAAGCCGGCCTCCACATCTTTTCTGCTGTTCATGCTGCATGACGGGGCAGCATAACACATTCAAATGTCCATGATTCGCTAGAGTCGTTGTGATTGACAGGGGAGAGAGAGTATGCCATCCCACCCACTCGGAAAGCACGGCCAGTTTTGTTCCCCTGGCTCCCGACAATTTGGCAAATGCTTTTCCATGATGCCATTCAGGAGCCAAGGCCTTTTACATTTTTGGAAAGTTTAAACAATGAAATTTTTTGCAGATTCAAATTCACATTTTGCATACCCTCTAAACTCAGCATTATGTGTAAGTTCTCATTTTAGATGTACATTCCATGCAATATGAACCAAATATATGTGCATGCAAGGAGCAACATTACCATAACAACAAGGAGCTTGTGATTTCTGTCAGAGCAGAACTGATGGTAGTCCAGAATGTTTGCTGAGTTTTGGTTTCTTGACTTGTGTTAAGTTTCAGCCAAATATCCTTTAAACACGCAGAAAGAGAAGATGAAATTGTGTCTCACATGATTCTGCTGTGGTATTGCTTTTAGATTTGATTATATGTTTAACATTGACTTTGTTTCCTCACAGGACCGTTTTTGCAGGTTTTAGTGTGCATTGTGAAAGTAATCAGTTTCAAGGACTGACAACATGATTTGGTTTCTGACTTCTGGAGAAATTTCCTTCAGATTAGCCTCTGTTGGGTTACTTAATTACCAATGAGGTGTTTACAATGAAGATTTTCTTTATTCAGTTTGGGCTATCAGTTGGATTATTAATATACTGTTAGCTATTATTGACTAATAACTATTCATGTAGCTATTCCAGAGCAAAACAGTGATAAATGGTGTTCAAAACTGTGGTGTTGATTATCCAGAAATCAGCACATTTTGAAAATTTCACTGTTCATGTTTAATAAGTGTTTGATCAGGGAAGAGTGTAGGCTCCACAGATCTATGAAGTGCATGCTTTATTTGTATATAATTGATTGATTAATGTAGGCTGCGCTGAGTGAACGCCACACTGGATTTGCTATTAGTAGAGGTATGCTAAAATTAACTTATGAACCACAACAAATTTGAAATTAAATTATATTAATCTCCTAAAAATGAAATTCACAGACTATAAGCCACATGTGGTGTGTGTATGCTACTGTAAAAGTAATTTCTAAACTGCTTGGCTGTTTTATTTTATTTCTGTTGTGTTTTCCCTTGGTGGTTAAGTGATTGATTTAGCTGCGCTGCGACATACATGGGCGAGCCGAGATTATCACGTTTATAGCAGATAGAATTCTAATACGGTGGAGAGAGTGGGAGTAAAACGATCCTTCAGTGAAAACGATCGGATCTCGAGTGCTCTAATAGCTGTGTGTGCGTCTGACCTGGGAGGAGATAGCAGCCAACAACAGAGGGATTTAGGCTTTGAGAGGAAGCCCATTAAGACATCCTAATGTGCTTTTCTTTATGAAGCTTTAATTGAAGCTGGTAGATGACTCATGCATGTCTAAATCAGACTGATTTGATTTCACACACACAAACACAAGCACGCATGGGCACACACGCATCTTCATCCGCAATGACCTGCCAAATTAACAGAGCTTTGCTTTTTAGTGTCTTCTTTATTCTCTGTATGAGAATTGAACAGGACAGCTCATTCTTTAATAACCAGTGGGGTTTTTTTCTGCATCTGGCAGACAATAATGTATTTCCTCTTAGGGCAACGTAACCCCAAAGCCCTAATGGAGCGCAAGTCTGACTCAGCTAGTGCATTTTAACAAAGGGCACAAACAATACACTCCACCCCCCTCCCCAACATCTGTCTCTTTCTTTCTCCCTGAGTGAAGGAGCAGTGCTTGATGCGAGGCCTGTATGGTTAGCGGGATCACAGTGCAGCTCTGTGCATTTCAATGGCCTGCTCTCTAAATGAGCTACAGGGCTGATCTCCCTGCAGCCCAGAGCGCAAAACAACAGGCACACAAACAGTGGCAAGGCCATTAAAAGGCAGGAAGTGGGCAGGCTAAGATGATTATGCAGACTTTGTATTCTGCCCACTATCTCTCTTACTCTCTGTATCTGCCATCTCTCATCTCTCTCTCTCTCTCTCTCTCTCTCTCTCAATGTCAGCGGATATCAAACAGTCCACTGGTATTTACCTACTTTGGCCCAAAATAAACAAAGCCAGGCTCTGGACGAATCACTTTCTCTCTCTCATTCCTGATTCAGGGCTGTCAGCTCTTTTTTATTCAGCATTCATCCCCTCTGCACTTCATTTGCAAGGTTTTTGCCCTTCACACAATTTCTCTGATTTACACTTTACAGGTGACCATATGATATTTTTTTTTACTTATGTTATTATACAGCAAGACACATGAATTATTTTGGAGATGAGCTGAGGTCGGATTAGTGCTAGCATATAAAACCATTCTTACTTGTGAGTAATTGTGCTTGTCTGCTATTTTGGTATTCTTTCCTTGAGTTTTTAAAGGTACATTCTCTTCTATCATGGAAATGTGGAAACGAGCTCCATGTTCCTCATAAAGCAAACGAGTGGCAATGTATTTCAAAAATATTTGCATATGTCTCGCATATGTCCTGCATTCCTGAACAGTGAGAGTGGTGTTTTTTTTGTAACGGGATAAATAAAAAATAATTAAATAGCAGTTGCTGTTGCCAGAACAGCACTGTGGTTTATAATTCAAGATGTTTGCAACATACAATCAGGCTAAGGCATGTAACTGCACTAAAAAAAACCACACATTTGCATGCATATAGACACATTCATCCCAGACACCTGTATTCATCTGTACTCATAACTGTCCTGTTCTGGATCATTTAGATATATCTGGTATTGTACCTGCCACAGTAGAGGCACTTTGCACTCCAATCAGAGAGGAGATCTGTGTGCTTTCTCTCTCTCTCTCACCACCCGCCCCCAGCTTGTGCAGTCTTCTGCAGCGTTGGCACTTGAACAGAGGCATGCAGCGGCTGCTATTAGAGCGGGGGCGGTGTGGAGACACCCGCGTCGTCAGGGTCACACACTCCTCCCACCCACACCTCAACACACACATGCCAAGAACGAGAGCACACAGTACACACTGTGCCAGGACAAACACCACACTGCCTGTTGGTAAACACAACCATTTTTTCCACACTCTGAATGTGATGCCACACACCCTGTTCCAGCATGACTGCAGCTAACCTCAGCCCAGCTGAGAAGGTTAGCAGAACGTTTTCTGAACGTTGCAGTTCTTGGAAACTTTGGCTCAAAAAATATGCAAACATTCATTCATGCATTCATCTTCAGTAAACGCTTTATCTCAGTCAGGGTCCCGGTGAATCCGGAGCTTATCCCAGGAACACCGGGCGCATAGTGGGAATAGTAGACCCTGGATGTGACGCTACTCCATGTTCTCAGAACATTATGTAACGCTTGTAAATGTCCATACAACACTATTGCAACATTGTTGTAGCAGCTGTAGGAACATTAACATCAATGTTTCTATGTTAGATTTTTGCATCACTGGGAACATAGTGTGAACAAACTGTTATTACTGCAAAGGTTTTTAGAACATGGTAGAAATTGTATTTTTATAACATTACAGTTCTTAGCATCTGTTAATAACTTACTGAACTTTCTAATAATGTACTCTGTTAAGTGGGTGTCCACTTCTGCAATCACAGATTTTATCAGCGTCAAAGAATTTACTGACATCACCCTTCTTATATTAAAGCTGGGAACTTTCAGTATTAAAGGCTAATCTGATCTGGGCATAAATTGGGCAGGTCTCAATGGGAACTCCCATCTGGATGGTCTAATGGTTACCAGGCTCATCCCCTCACCGCCATCCTGTCCTCAGTTGCTTTTGGACTGGAGAGAAAGAGTGAGAGGATGGATAAATGATGACGGACTCACCCTCTTTCTCTGCTGCAGGAATGCACGCCGCCCACAGAGAGACCTGCAGGTCTGTGGGATCGCAGCAGGAGCTGGCAAGCTGGACGCCAGTCTTTCAATTAGAAACACATGTCCATCTTCTCATTTGACCTGCTCTCCATCTCTTCTCACTCACTCCTCTGCCTGTGTCTTCCTCCCTTTCCATTAGAATATCTGTTGTTCCATGACCCAGCGTTAATAAACAGCTTGGTTAGAGCCGTCAGTTTGGGTAAATGTTTTCAGAACACTAAGCAACAGACATGTACCCACACAAACTAAAGCACATGTACATCAGCCTACTCAAAGACAAGCCACAGAGTTCCTGAATATCAAGTTTTCTTCACGTTGCCCTCTCGCCTGTAGGTCGGCCCTCACAACAGGAAAAAATTTCTTGAGCTGTTTAGGGAAATGCAATTCAGTATGGTCACGCCAATTCACCATGCATGCCTGTGTGTGTTTCTGTAGTTGTGGGGAACAAATGGGTTTACAACTAGAATTTCTTTGAACTCTTATCTATGGTGTCAAAAAGGGTGGAAAAGATTTTGTGCTTGTAAAATAACATTCACAAATGCACTAAAAAAGTGCAGTTATATTTAAGCATTTGCCTGCACAAATAAATCAGAAGGAGAAACCGTGTGAGCAAAGAAACACATTTAAATCCACTGATTTGTGGAAATGTATATAATATAAAGTGATATGGAAAAGAGAGAACAGTAGTTTAAATGTTGTGAAGGCATGGTGCTGCAGTGGGTAGCATTGAAGTCTCACAGCTCCAGGGTCCCCGGTTCGATTCTGAGCTCTGTCTGCGTGGGGTTTTCCCTGTGGGTTTCGTTCGGGTTTACCTCCAACCTCCCAAACACATGCCAGTAGGTGGATTGGCTATGCTAAATTGCCTGTACGTGTGAATGTGTGTGTGTGTATGGTGCCCTATAATGGACTGGCGTCCCATTTAGGGTGTGTCCCTGCCTCAGACCAAGTGTTCCTGGGACAGGTTCAGGATCCCTCACCAAGATAAAGCAGTTATGTTGAATAAATTTAAAAAATAATGATAATGTTGTGAATGTGCATCTGTGGATGTTTTCATCAAAATGATCGACCTGTAAGGAACAGGTGGCAAGATTGATTTATCCACTCAGGACTGATATGACTTCCAACATAATACTATGTTATTTGCTTATTGCTACAACACAGTTTGGTGAGTTTTTTATGATATGTGTGTGAAGTGTGTGTACATGTGTGTGCCTGCTTTTCCTAGGTTGCAGGGATTGTGTCATGGTTTAGTTCATTAAGTATGATAGTGGAGGCAGACTGGAAAAACACTGAGATTTATTAAAGTCTATGCCAGTGAAACACAGCCGTCCTCCCCGCCATCATTACACCTCCTCACCCACCAACTGGGTGCATTCCTACTTGCCAGCATCCTTCTGCGTTTGTGTCTGTTTCTGTGTGTGTGTGTGTGTGTGTGTGTGTAAAATTTCCCTGGGTGATATCCAGAGTCTGTTAGTGAGTCCAATATCAAAGATCAAAAGTGCAGATTTAAAACGCATGACTGAGAATCAGCAGTTAAGGTTCAGGGCATCTTGACTAAAAAAATAAATGCGGGGAAAGCCAGGCAGAGAGTGCTCGTAAAATAGCCTCGGTTATTTCTCCGGGCTCCGAAAACACAGCGAAACCCCCTGAGTTATTTGGCCTCTCGACTTTATGACACTGTTGGTTGTTATTTCAGAGTTAGCCCTTTTCCCACAGTGCTGGGAAAGGACCTTAAAGCAAATCTTTGACTTTTTTACTCCATCAGCTGAATCTCTCTCTCTCTCTCTCTCTCTCTCTCTCTCTCTCTCTCTCTCTCTCTCTCGCTCTCTCATTATTCCATTGTTTGCACTTGGCTAGGAGAGAGAGGGGGAGAGTTGCTTGTGCTAACATTTTGTGCATGCTGTAAATGCTGTGATCTGCTCTGTCTCTCTGGCTGTCTTGCTTCCAACAACAGAAGTGCTTGTGCACAGGTCTTATCAGCACAGGGCCGTGCGAGTCCATGTGTGAATGTGTGTCTGGGTAATATGAATGTGATGACAGGGCTGCAGGTGTAGACCCACGCACTCCAGGCAGGTGAACGAGAGAGGTTGTCTCGCTCTCATCACACACACAGTAGTATGTGATTAGAATACTCTTATCTGACAGCTCCGACCAAATTCACCCACGTCCTCAATTCTCTTCTCTTCTCTTCTTTTTTATGCTATTTCCTGTTGTCTTTTAAAGCTACATCAGTAAGCTATACAGATAATCTTGTCGCTTTCATTATATCTCCTCATTAGTAAACCAATTTTGAAAAATCTCATGAAAAATGCATGAACAGTTCTTAATAGTGTGCGTAGAACCTCTAGGTGTTTCTCTGTGCTACGTTACTGTTGTTCGATACATGTTTAGGCATGCTTCTTTATTGCTTATTTGCATATCATCAAAAATAAAATAGGATGAATGTCCCAATGGAGAGATATTAGTTTTGTTGAACATTCTAGCTCTAGATTGTTTCAGTTTCTCTCTGAGGTTTTGAATATGGCGAATGTTTTCTCTGCCAGGCTGAGGTACTTGCAGAGGTGAGTGTAATGTCGTTTAGCCTCAAGGCTGGATTAGTCACTGGAGTTGACTGCACAAAGACCACATAAAGGCTCTCCTGCATCTATCAGCACTCTTTGCCAGATCATATCTTACTGAAAGTTTTGCTTGCTCAAAATGAGTTTTTCTGGTTGCTGGGGAAACAAAATCAGTTTAACAAAGGCTCATAGGACTTTGTTCCAAAAAAAAAAAGAGCACCGAGGCACTTAAAGTGTTCCAGGAACACATATTAGTGTCTTTTACAGCCTACACTGTTGGTTAAATGTGTGTGAAATGAGGACACAGAAACAGAGAGAAAGAAAACAAATGTGTGCTTGAGCTTAGAATTGACCTTTTCTGGAATACAATTGTTTTGAATGCTTGTCAAATTTCAAACTGGTGAACTGGTCATACTTGACTTTAAAAGTCTTGCCCCTAGATATGCACTCGCGCAAGCATAGAAATCAAACAACATTTTCATTTTGAAGATATCACTGTTGGCCGTCAGAACATGGGACCATTATAATGTTTAAGTTATTTACAATCGCGATTACGGTGCTTATTTTTTCAACACTATCAAGCTCTGAGCTTTGAAGGTGTTCCAGCAAGCTTGTTTTGATGTTGGAGGTTCGGAGGGAACACATGCCAAGAGTGGAGTTTGAGCATCTCAGCAGAGAGAATGGAGGGGGGGCAGCAAGGGCTGGAATGAATACGGGCTGGAAGAAACACGATGGGAATCAAACTTCAAAAGGGGGCTTGCTTTTCCATCCCTGCTCTGCAGGCTCTTTGGGGTTGTGTGGATACCCGAGGTGTAACATTTCCTTTTTGTTCAAACCCCTGATGGTCATCACTGCTTAGGTCATCACCTCTCCATCAGCCTACTGACAATGACCTTTAGCAACCCCGCTCACTCGCTTTCACTGTATACACCAGCTGACTGATTTTTTTCCCCCACTTCTCTTCCTCTCTCTCTCTCTTTCTTTCACCAGCCCCCACAGAGCCGCTGCTGTGTAAGTTTGCAGATGGGGGTCAGAAGAAGCGACAGAGCCAGAGCAAGTATCCCCAGAACGGCAGACCGTGGCCTCGGGAAGGAGAGGTCAGTTTCACTATGCCGCCTGTCACCTTTAATCCATGTGTTCTGTTCCGGTCAACATGACCACGTTTACATTTTTATTTAAAGTGAAGCAATATTACATGTTTAACATCATGAAACTTGGCTGTCTCTGTTTCTCTGCGCAAATTACCATTAAAATATGAATGATTTAGATTATCTTTCAGCTCAATTTGACCTGAGAATTAAAAAGAAATGAAATAGTTAACTAACTTTTAATCAAAACCTGGTCATATGAAAAATGTATACAAATTTTAACAAGCAGTGGTATCGCATATGAATTAAATTTAAAGAACAAGAATGAGTGAAAAACCTTGCCCTAACATAAACCCTAACCCTAACCCTAACCTCCATGATTAAGGTTCTGGGAGTAGAGATCAGAAGGTCATGAGTTCAGAGACACAGCAAATTGCTTAACCCTTAACTATGTTGATCCTCTTTAATTTGTAAGTTACTTTGAGTAAGAAGAATATGCCAAATAATCAAATGTACAGTACAAATAAATTTTATTTGTGTCCTAAAAATTGTTTTGCAAATGTGAGACCATGTTGTTTAAAAAAATAATTTGCCGAATATAAAATCTCTTATTTGAACTCCCGTGTTGAACCCTGTGCACACGCCTGCCGTAGGAAGATGTTGTTTTCCTTAATTAGCATTTCCACATCCACTGCTAATTACTAATGTAAAGATAGGATATATTAAATATTTTAAAAGAGACTGTACAACTGCGTGACTATAAAATGAAAACATGGCCTTAGTCAGTGGGATATTCTTGGATAAGTAGTGAAAAGAGGATGAGGTTGACCCCTGAACACAAACACCAAAAGGCATTGGTTTGACAAGGCAAGAAGAGCTGTGAGACAAAAGAGCCTGTGTGGAGAGCAGCAGCAGAATCAGTGAGATGAGAAGCGCCCGCTGCTAAGCATGCCCTCTGATTCTGCTTGGGGGTAGAGGAGAGGAGAGGCGAGGAGAGAGGGTTGAGAGGAGAGCAGAGGAGGGGGCACTGCTTTGACTGACAGGCACATCTGGCCTTGTTTAAGCTCCCTACCTCCCTCTCAGTCTTTTAATCTTTCCTCAGCTCTTTTCTGAACTGTGAAGAGAGGCGACGCGGCAGCAGAGCAGGAAGCGCTGGCATTTTCTGGGCAGCCCAGCCACTGGCATGATGGCTCAGGGAAACATGCCAGATGCCAGTCTAGCCCACAACCACTGTGAGCTCCATTACCTGAACCTGGCATCGGGCAGTAGTTTGCCTAGACAGACTCAGACAGGTGTCTGTGTTTGTACAGGAGCTCTATACTCTAACACCCCAGGGGTCCTCAGAGAGCAAAGACGACTTACAGTACAGTACACACATGGGTTGTTCCAGCAAATCTCCCACTACTCCCTGTGTTTTCTCCCCTGCTGAGAGCCTGGCACCCTGCACGTTGCAGTATATGAGACCTATTTATCCGTGTCCCCTCCAATACGGGGCGAGCAGTGCCGCCCTCTGCTCTCATTCACTTAGCCGGTATGGCAGTGTCAACATGAGGAATGTCTCTTGCAGACTTGTAAATACCAAATAACTTTGTGTCATATCAAAGCGGAGCAAGGCTGGCTCTTGCTGGCCGCCTCTGCAAGGTAATAGATTCACCGTTACAAGGCCTGGCCCAAGCTCTTAAAGACATAAAGAGCATTCGGCCAGACAGCTCAGCTCCTCGGCCGACATGACTCAGTACAATTTACAGCTTCTGTCTCACTTAGGTGTTAGTCCCCCTAATGTATGGACATGAACTCTCTTTTACTGTTTTTCATGTTTCTTTTGCATTTCAGAGTGGCATGGCGTTACCCTACGACCCTGCCGCAATGCAGAATGGGTAAGTTTATTTTTAGTTTTATGTTTTTCTCCCAGACACACTTGGTATCCTCCTCAGCTGCCATGACAATATTATAGAATGGGTGCAAAAGTCTGAGGCATGATGACTAATTCTCAAGTGTAACCCACTCCCAAACACACACACGCAGGCACACACACAGAGAGAAGCTGTCCTGCCCCATCTGCGTTTGTGCCGCTGTTGCACTGCAGGGTGTAAGTGTTTCATCAGGTACGGGCTGCAGGGCTGGATGTG